AAACAGCTGCAGCTATTAAATGAACACATTTAGGTTTTGTGCGGATAAAGTGTGTAAAATTGCAGATCATAAGACTGTAATTGATAGATTGTGTAAAAATATTGTTTACATCTTATGAGAAGCTGCTGAAACCAGCTATGAGATATGAAAGCGTAGTAAACACAAACTAGTTGTTGGGTGGAATAGGTACGTAAGGGAGGTCCATCAGGGGGCACGATGCAGTTTCCAAATGTGGTTGCTGTATGGTAAGCCCAGTGCGGGTTATGTATATGACAGAATACGAGAAGCTAGGAGGTGTTTTAAGTCAAAGCTTAAGTGGTGTCAAGATAATGAGAACCAAATAAAAATGGATATTTTGGCTACTCACCACAAAGAAAAAGATTTTAAGAGTTTTTGGAAACAAACTAAGAAGCTGGAAACTGCATCATGCTTACCTGCGAGTGTCGATGGTTAGAGTGAGCCCCATCATATCGCAGAATTTTTAGGGAACACTTCAAAGTGGAATCCTCATTGCTACCGGTGCAGCGGGTGTTCGATTCGATATTAAGCAGAAATCATGCAGTGAATTTGAAAAATTTACTGTGAAAAAAGTCGCAAATGTCATTAATAATGTGACCCGTGGTAAATCACCCGGACATGATGACCTTAGTATTGAGCACCTGCAGTACGCGGGAGTTCATCTGCCTAAATACTTAGTAAGTCTTCGCGTACATAATATGTGTATAGGGCATGAATACTTACCTCAGGAACTTATGAAGACCATAGTGGTACCAGTTCTAAAGAATAAGACCGGGTATGCTGCCGACAAGAACAATTATAGACCGATCTCGCTAACTACTGTGATAGCGAAAGTATTGGATGGTTTACTTGATCGACAACTAAATAAACACAGGTACATAAGGCACAGCTTGGATTTAGACCTGAACTGCCCACTGAAACTACAATCTTACGAATCAAGCATACCGTCCAGTATTATGTTACCAGAAAAACGCCTGTCTACGCCTGTTTTTTGGACTTGTCGAAGGCATTTGCCCTGGTCTCGTACAACCTATTATGGGATAAGCTTCGGAGGGAAACGAGCACGCCTAGAGAGATAGTCCGTATATTAAGGTATTGGTACCACAAACAATCAAATAATGTAAGGTGGGCATGCTCATACTTAAGTGATTATATAGGTTGGAGTGTGGAGTAAGACAGAGAGGCTTAACTACATCGAAGCTCTTTAACCTATATCTCAATGGAATGATCGATGAGCTTAGCAGATCTGGCGTCGGATGCTGATGGTAACTTTGTAAACAGCATCAGTTACGCGGACGAAATGGTGCTGCTGAGCCCTTCGATCAGGGCACTCGAGATATTAATAAATTTATTTGAGAGATATGCAGAAGCCCATGGCCTCAGGTATAATTCCAAAAGAATGAACTACTTGTTTTCAAGGCAGGGAACAAAGAACCCAAGGCTATCCCACTGGCCAGGCTTAGAGAAGTACTTTTAAGTAGAGTAACCAAATTTAAGTACCTGGGGCACTGGATTACAGAGGACCTCTCTAACGACATGGAACGAGGACGTACATCGTTAGCAGTTAGGTGCAACATACTGGCTCGCAAGTTTGCAAGGTGTACAAAAGCTGTCAAGATAACCCTTTTTAAGGCGTACTGCCAAACGTTTTAGTGTGGTTTTTCAGTGACGCTTTCGCCAGCGCGGTTGATAAGCGTCGCGGGTCACGATCGTTGCGTCTCTTCGATCGTTACATAGTGTAACCAATAAGCGGATTGGTTGCATTCAGCAACTGGCGGCATTCAGCCGCGCGTTTCAACAGTATAAAAACCGCACGACTCTAAGCTCGTTTTATAGTTTCGAGCGGGTCACCCGCGCGTTTACGGGCCGCGCTTACCACCCGCGCTGGCAAAAGCGTCACTGTAAAACCACACTTACACCTGCAGCCTGTGGGTCAAGTATGACTTCAGTACAATAATGGCTTTAGGATGCTGATGGGGTTGTCTCGACTCTCGATATTGCAGCGCATCAGGTATGTTTGTTGAGGCAAACACGATACAATATTTCGATATAATAGTGCGGATCTCTAGTATATATGTAGATCTATGAGTGCGGAAGAGAGTGGCCTCCCTGATGCGACACGTGCGAGACAGTGCCAACGGACTCCTATGTACTGTATTGGGAAGGCTTGATTGTCCGGTTGTGCGGCACTGGAACACTATGCATATGGGATCCAGAGCTGTTATGTTTAATATAACATAAGCATTGTTCGATTTTTAGTTGTATATTTACTAACATTAATTTTAAGTTTGTGCCGTGTAGTAGCGGTTGAAAATATCCACTACCCCATATCTTCCCGTGGGTGTCGTAAGAGGCGACAGAGGGAGACAGGCAGGAGATGGGTAGCAGCATCTTCCTAATAACAACAATAATATAATAAAAAACTGCGGTTGCCAACCCGCTCGCCAACCGTGAGTAACGACGCAAACAAACGTCCACCAGTCCCCGGCGGCCCCGCTATTCCTGGGTATGGTGGCGACCATGGTAACGGCGGGGCAGGGGGTGCTAAGATCTCCGGTGGAGGTTCGGTTGCCACCTATGACGACTCGACCTGGCAACATACAACGCACGCACCCTGAGGACTGACGAGAAGATACTGGAGTTATCTTTTTATACAATCGATGCATCTTTGCCAGCGCAGTGGTAGTTTATTGATGCCGTTCTTGAAGAAATCAACTGGACGGGTAAAGAACGGAAGTCTTTTGGCACAAGGTCTAGTCAGTACGGCCAATGATGGAGAGCTTCCTACCCCAGCTCTTGTAACTTGGAGACCGTCTGATATGCGGTATGAGGTCATACGGGGATGAGCGATTGACCGTAGCTGGTTGGAGACGTGCAAGCTTCTCCATTACTGTGTACAGTTCTTCACATTTGACAGTCCTACAGTCAAAATTTTATTTTCTATAGAAACACTCCCACTTTTTCAATAATTGGGTATATATATATATATATATATATATATATATATATATATATATATATATTCGGATAAAGAAGGAAGATTCATTGATGACAATAGCTCGTTTAGTTGCTACTTTCCCGCGCCTATTTCATTCATACCTGCGACTGCACATTCATTTAATGATAAATAACTTTAACTACAAGCATCGTTTACTATTACAAATTTTTGGTTACGTTATTGGCATTTAAGCGTAAATTTTGACTCTAAGCCTTTTGTGTTTCTCTGAAAGTTGTGGTGTGAAGAATGGACCATGATTTGAAATTTTTATGAAAAGAAGTGGCTGACGTCAATTATTATTCTTCTTATTATTTTTTCATTACTGCCTTTTTCAGCCTCACAAGATATTTGTAACTGCAAAAAAGAAAACTACGTATAAGTAAGTAAATCAGTAATATAGTGTTAAAAAAATTCCTCAAATAAAAATGCAATAAACTTGTTAATTTTATAGGAATAACATATTAAAATAATAAATTTTATTAGGATATTTATGTAAAACATAAAGGTTATATTATGTTCTAATTACGTTCACGCTTGCGCATATAAAACCGCGGAATTTCACTAGTTTTATTATCAAAATAATAATTGACAACCCTACCCTAAGTTTGCCTTGATTTTACCAACTCAAACTCGTTTTAGAAGATCAAAACATAGAACAAAGATAGGAGACTATTTTTTATTTAATATGGTGCATCAAATCCGTAAAAATAGTTTAAAATACTCACACAATAAAATCTTGAAGTGCAGGTATAATGTAATATAATGTAAAATATCTGCGACCAACATTTGCACAATTCTGACGTTCACAGACGTTTCACAACTTTTTGCCAGAACCAAAAGTAAGTGCTGGTATGCGACAAAAATCGTACCATAAATAAAATAAAGTCTCTAGCTCGAGAGGAGATGAGCCGTGGTAGCTCAGATGGTTAGCGCTTCCTGAAATTTTCACAGTGCGCGAGCAAACCGGGTTCGATCCCCGCCGGCACCAATGAAATTGTAATTGCAATTTTAATAATCGTATGCCGCCCGCACTCTGCGCACGCCCCTTTATCATAGAATTCACACAATTTTCGGAATTATTTCAATTAAAAAAGAAAAATGAACTTAAAAATTTAAATAAAACGTGGAGAATATAGGTTTTTTAATTATCTATCCATTAGTGTACTCCTCAAATGATTAGAGCATTGCGTTTAGCAACAGATGCATGTAATCAAGAATTTTAGTCATTTTTTAAAAGTTGATTTTAAATGTATTTATAGCACATAAAAATAAATTAAGACGTGGAATGTGTTGATAAGATACCGAACATTAATAATGTACTTTTAGATGTAGCTTATTTAGATAATAAAGTCTGAAAAACACACTTTCGCAACATTTTGGTCAGGGATACACCTTAAGTTTCTTGCTTAGTGATAACAGAAAATATAAAGTTTTATTTTGTTATATTTTCTTTTATGTAGCATGAAAAACTTAAAAACAGTTATTTTTTCTATTATCACAAAGAGATTTTGCATTTGGTGCACGTGACAAAAGTCAATTTTTTGCAATTTTTATATTTGCACTGATTTCTTTTAGTGCTGTAGCTTTTGTCATATCCAAATCCATTGGTACGAACGTCATGTGGAGCGGTAATGTCTGTGCACCAAGTTTAGCTCTTTTTTGGGTGGTTTTTCATATCTATTCAAGCTGGGTCTGCCTCTTTTATTTTGAGATACGGATTCATACTTGCACAAAGTTTCAGCTAGCTCGGTCCGAAAATCAGCAAGTTTCAATATGTGTTTGGGATTAGTTTCCATTTTCAGTGACACTTTTTTGTATAGAATCCCTCTGTTTATTACTGCCATATCCAGCATATGTTGGAAGAGTCTATTGGTCCACTTCTTCGATTTCATTCGAATCCTATATCGCCCCAAGTAACTATCCACCGTATACACACCCCCCATATTTGTATTATATTTTTGAATTGCTTTGGGACATGGTATCGTTATGTTCTTTTTTGCTTCTTGTCGTAGCGGCCAATAGTACCCACAGGATCTGCACCTACATACGTAGATAACAACAAGACCTGTTTGTTATCTTTCCAGCTAGTTGCTGCAAACTCAACACCATCAAGAGATGCAACATTCTCGTCATACGAACCCCTTGGAACAGATGTTTTCTGTACATCTTCCTTTTTTGGTAGTTTGCATGTTCTTCCTAGTCTGTTCCTTTGGATTGTACCTAAGCAATATATTATGCCTTCCTTGTACAAAAAATGAAACAAAGGCAAGTTTCAATAAAAGTTATCAAAATAAACTATGTGGTTTACCTTTCTCCGTACAGGTCAAAGCAAACGTACCACTGTATTGGAAACTGCTCCAAGATCTGGCTCATTTGGTAGCCGCTTGTAGTCATGAGTTCCTGAGTAAATTTTAAAAGAATATGCGTAACCCATCAGACAACAGAGAACGTACAATTTGAAGCCCCATTTATGAGGCTTATTAGGCAAGTACTGCTTCATAAAATGCGAAATTTTTGTGGCGCATATCTGCTTATCTAATGAAAGCCTATTGTTACGGCCCTGAGTTACCCTGACAAAAGACGAATGAAACTAGGGCCCATCAGTAGTCCAACTCGACGAGTAACAGAGGAGAGGGTCTAATGACCTATGGATAATTAAATTACAATGGTTAGATACGCAAGTACAAAACTTACCGAATTCCAGAAGTGTAGGGTCTGCCACAAGGTGGCGTCACTGGCAAGTAAATGGTAGTTAGTGTGTAGTGTGGGAAAGTGTATAGTGTAACCTGACGTCACCAATACGATCAGATAGCAGCACCACGTGCGCCGACCGCTCCACAAGATGCTCACCGCGATCGGAACCCAAGTCCAGCGTCACTTAGCACGAACTATAATCGCGCGCGGTCTACACCGGGATCACAAATTTCAGCGTTCTCAGCGACAAAGTAAAAGTCTTATCACGCTAACAACCGACGCACTAATAACTCGTAGATGCAATTAACGGCATAAAAGTTCCTTTAATCATTCCAAACTCCAAGTAGGCCGCTTGTCTCGTCACGTCCAAAACAGACAACTAAATTAGAGGCGGTCTAATTAGATCCAAATGTTCAATAGTTCAAAATGGCGCACACAATTAACACAAGAATAAGCCTCGTTATCACGGATACGTACAAATATAAGATAACACAAGGAGGCCGCCTTTTCGACGCGGTAATTGTATCAAAAACAAACGCGACCTCTGAACGATACGGCTCGCTCACCAAAAAGATCGAGACTCGTCCGCGCGGCCGTCGGCCGCACAGATCCGTCGCCCCCCCCCCCAGGCCCCATCGTCAAACCGGATTCCCACTCGAAACGCGCGTCCGATCGTGCCACCTATGATCAAAAGGAACTGACATAAAGCGTTGATTTACGTGGTCCACTATTGTTCGTATTTTGTGTAATCTATCTTGGTTAGGATGTTCAGGAGGTAAATGATCTTCATTATCGTTAAAATTTAGGATTTCACGAATTTTCTCAAAACGATTAACGGTCATTGTATCAGCTATTGGATTTAATCTTACATTATTTTCCCAGTAGTATCTTATACTTGGATAATGATATACCGAAGTATAGATCAAAATACCAATATATTTTCTCAGTTCGAGAACTGTCATTGGTTCGGAGAAATTGATGTTTTTTTTATGGCGTATTTATTAGATTCAAAAACAATTCTGTTTAGAATATTTTCATCAAGAAAATAGGTAAAATATTGATAAGGTGAAGATAAATTCATAATCAAAGTCCTTAGATCCGAGAAATGTGAACGCTTGCTCAACTAAAGCCAAATTCTATTTTTCCATATCAAATTCCGCAAACTAGGAGTAGCGATGGAATGTGACTGGTTTTCTCCTTGTTCTTTTTAAATGGCAAATTATCTATCTTAAAATCTACTTCTAGTGGAAAATGATCTGACCAATAAACATCAAAGCATACCTTACAATTTAATACACGTTGCCAAGCTGAATTTGTTACCAGACAGTGATCAAGCCATCTTCGGCAGTCCTTTTTATTGTCACTTATATAAGTGTATGTGTCTGATGTTGTTTTTAAATGGACCACGTCTGCACAGAGCCACTTCCGCTCCTCACAGAAATAGGATATCTCATTATAAAATAATTCTCCGGGATGCGCATTAACACATTGAGTTGGTGGTCACCGGTGACCACCGCTATACTTTCCATATTGTCTGACGCCAATTTGCGATTTCAACAAATTTTACACATTATATTTTATTGGCACATACTGTTCAAAATAGCCAAAAATCTCAATCTAAATAATTTTTTCTTATTACTATCCAAAGAATTAACAAAATAATTGCTGACGCCCACCGGTGACCACCACGGCGCACGCCGCTGGAAATCTGCATTTCGTTCGCGCGCCGGTCACACCGGAAGGGCTGCGCGTGGCCGCGCTATTGACACTAATTAGTAATCTTTCGCAAGCAAGGTCTAGCACATTGTCGAGTTAGTAATCGCAAGCAAGGTCACACGCATTGTTTATTTTTCATAATACATATCTTGGATTATTTTAGTAACAGTTTTACCCTGGTTACCTCTAAAGTGAATAAACTGTGTCCTGCCTGACTGTAAGGAAAAGTGTGGTGTGAATCATGGATGATTTTGAAGACTTTAAAATAACAAATGATGTTTTGACGCGGATTGAAGAAATAGAAATTTCCTTGCTCAATAGTAGCTTTCACCTAAGTTTGGAGCCTGAGGAAAAGTATGACTTACAACCACCTTTACGAAAGCGACGTCGACGAGTTCTGTCCATTAGTGACACGAGTGACATTGAACATAAAAATGCCAATGCCAAAATACTTCTGATCACACCGCGTCTCTCCCTATAACATCTACCGTGTGGCACTAACCAAAAGGTAATCAGCGTCGGATTATCCCCTACACTGAATTCCCAGGATTAGATCCACGAGTTGTAAGAGAAATGATCGATAAAACCCCGGCAGATTTCTATCATTTTATAGTACCAGACGAAGTGTTTGAAATGATGGCCGATACGAATAGCTTTGCTATCAAAAAAGTCACAGAGTCGGACGCAGCATCTACAGCTGCGCGGATTCGCCAGTGGAAACCTACATCCGCAGCAGAGATGAAACGATTTTTCGGATTGATTATTTTTATGGGGATCGTAAAATTACCCAAAATATCCTACTACTGGTCAAAAGATGCTGTACTTGGACAGAATTTTCCTCGAACAATAATGAGTCGAAACCGATTGGAGCTGCTGTTGCAAATGCTGCACTTTTCTCAGCAAGACGAAGACAATAAATCTAATAGATTAAACAGGATTGAGAAATTGCTCGAAGTTATGAACAGGAATTCCAAAAAAACTACACCCCTTCCGAAGAAATCTGCATAGATGAAAGCGTGGTGCCTTTTCGCGGACGAATAATTTTTCGACAATACAATAAACAAAAAAGGAATAAATATGGTATAAAGGAGTTTAAGTTATGTATCATTCCAGGATATACATATAAAATAAATGTATACGCAGGAAAGAATAACGATGAAGTCAATACTACACGTCTATGCAGCGATCTTCTATACAAGGGACATACGCTAGTGATCGACAACTGGTACACCAGTATAGATCTTGCCAAAAAACTTCTGGATGCAGAGACTCATCTCGTAGGCACGATTCGGAAGAACCGGAAGCATCTGCCAAAGGATGTAGTAAGTGCCAAACTTAAGGGAGGACAATTCGTGGCGAAGGAAAGCGATGAGGGCATGGCTGTAATGAAGTGGAAGGATAAAAGAGACGTCCTTTTGCTGTCCACAAAACACCCAGTGCGATTCTAAAATCTCCGAAAACGTAACAAAGTTATTTCTAAACCGAAAATAATCATTAACTATAACGGTGCTAAAGGAGCTGTAGATATGTCCGATCAGATGGCTGCTTACTCAACTCCATTGAGGAAATCTATAAAATGGTACAAGAAGTATGCAATCAACCTTCTCCTGAACACAGCAGTGGTCAATGCACTGGTCTTGTATCAAAGCGTCATTGGAAAGAAAATACAAATGGCAGACTTCCGGCTGGAATTACTGAAGTCGTTTTGCAGCCAACAAGATGTTCCAATTGCAAGACCTAGAAGAATGATACACAAACTGCAACAAAAAGAAAGGCAAGCCAGGACAAGCCGGCGAGCATGTGTGAATTGTTACAAAATTAACGCAGCTACTTACGGCAGAAAGTTGGCTAAAAACAAGACTAAAAAGGTGTTTTGTCCACAATGCCCGGAGAAGCCTTTTCTTTGCATATCTTGCTTCAATGTGCTTCATCATTGACCAATTTTTTAACCGACTGCGCGACGAAAAGAGTGGAAATGTATTTATTTATTTTGTTGTTAAGACTGATTTCATTTATTCGCCAAATATTCATGACAAAGTTTAATTTCGTAGTAATTTTTTGTTATTTTAAGTTTTTTTCTTGTTATTTATTTTTTTGGCACTCAATATAGTTTTGTACCGGCACTGTGTCCCCCAGCGAGAAAATTGAGTTCAAACACAAGTCTGTCGCGCGGTCACCGGTGAGCCCCACGGCCTGAACTGGTAGTATTGCTGTTGCTCACCGGTGAGCCCCACGGCCCAAACGGAACAACCACTAAATTTGAGTCGGCGTTTAATGTGTTAAGATCATCAAGAATAATTGCAGATTCAATTTCGCAACTCTCAATTACAGCGTCTATTTCATTTAACACTTCTGTAAACTCAATTAAATTATGTTGACTGTCTGTAGGCATATACACCGAAAAAACCAAGAAAAAAAGGTTATTCGCACATACTTTAACAGCTGTCAGTCTAACTCTATTACATGGAACGATTATAACTGACGAAAACACACTTCTCTTCCACATTATCGCCACCCCGCCATAGGGTTGCCACGGAGTATACTCGTTGATGTATCCACCGCTGCCTTCTCGTGTATTCAAAGTCACTGTCAATATTCCCTATGTATGTAATGTCATGCGGTAATAACCATGTCTTCTGAAGAGCGATTACGTGTGCCGTCTTGCATAATTCCCTCACCCCGTCCACTGATCTCGTTACTGACTTGCAATTGATACTAATAAGTTTTATACTGTGATCATCATTTAAATAATAATAATAATAATAATTTTATTTCAGACCATGGTCCATATATTGTTAGTAATGTTGTTAGTAACAATATTGGCTTAAAACTATGTTAGTATTGTAAGTAATTACACATTATTTTAATCCTATGACTACGCCCACCCAGTGATTCTGTATGGGACAGTCATATCTTACAGATATCGCTCTCAGGATGCTGTTATTACTGTTTCGTAAGCGTTGCAAGAGTGAGGCTGTTTTCTTCCGAATGATCGCTGAAAAAGTGTCAGTACGCGCTTGTGCAAACATACCTGATGCACTGCAATGCCACGGCAGCCGCAACAGCATTCTGAAAGCGTTATTAGCGTCACAGTGGTAGAGCCACGCGGCAGCTTTGCTGTTGCACGTATGGGCCGGCTCAAACCGGGGTGGTACCACGACCTCACAGAATACCGGCGTGAAGTGGAAGCTCTGCTTCCGCGTTTTGTCTGGTGAGTGCAGGTGGCCGGAGGCCCAAATCCCCCCATCAACATGGTAGCGGAATTAAATAATGGTCGACTACCCCAGGAGGGTACCAGCACCCCTGGAGAATCCCTCGCTGAGCATCCACGACCATGTTTCTCCACTTCTGAGCGTGGGTGCTCAGGCTGCCCCGCGTATTCTGGGGGGGGGGGGGGGGCAAAATTCCGCTCAAGACTACAACTGCTCGGGTCAAACGGAGCAACAAGACCAAGGCGACCCCTGCCACGCTGTCCGTGGTTTTCTGCAATATCGGGGGACTTCACTCTAACCTAAACGCGGTCCACTACCATCTCGAGACGGCGAGGCCGGCTCTGCTCTTTCTGACCGAGACGCAGGTGTCCTCTCCGGCTGATGTCTCGTATCTCTCCTACCCGGGGTACAAACTGGAACACTCCTTTGTGCCTCGGGCTGGAGTTGCGTTTACGTCAGAGAGGACATCTGTTCTCGACGCCTCGGCAGACTTGAAGGTTCGGACCTGTCCATACTTTGGCTACGCGTAGACAGCGACGACCATCCGCGCGTCTACGGGTGCCTCTATAGGTCCCATATCGGTAATGCCGAAACAGACCGACTCTTCGACCACGTCCAAATGGTTGCAGATTCGTTGCTACAGCAGATCCCCTCCGCAGAGATCGTGATCCTCGGCGACTTTAACGCCCATCACGCCGAATGGCTTGGTTCACGTTTAACCGATCATGCGGGGAGATCTGTTCATTTTTTTTGTTTCTGTGTGAAATGATTTTGCCTTGGCATATGGTCTGACACAACTGGTTACTTCGCCTACGCGGATTCCGGATGTGGAGGATCATGCACCTTCCCTGTTGGACCTTCTGCTGACCTCTCACCCGGACGGATATCAGATTTCCGTCGACGCCCCTTTAGGCTCCTCGGACCATTGTCTGGTCCGGAGTGTTGTGCCACTCACGCTGAAATCGCGGTTGCATTCTGCAGGCTGCCGCCGTGTTTGGCACTATAGGTCAGCCGATTGGGATGGGATGCGGTCTTTCTTTGCATCCTACCCTTGGGGGCGGGTTTGCTTCTCGCCGGATGATCCCAACGTTGTTGCGGATTCTGTTGCTGATGTGATACTTCAGGGTATGGAACTTTTTATTCCTTCCTCTGTGGTGCCCATTGGAGGCAAATCTCAGCCATGGTTTGGTCGCTCCTGTAAAATAGCATCATGCTATAAGCAGGAGTGCTACCAAGCCTGGGCTGATGCATCAGCGTCCCGGGATGTAAACACCAGCGCTCTAAAAAAGAAGTATAATTCCGCCTCTAGGTCCTTCAAGAGAGTCATTGCCAAGGCAAAGTCAGAGCACATAGGCAGAATTGGCGAGAAACTATTTCGCCTTCCTTCTAGAACCCGTGCATTCTGGTCTCTCGCCAAGGCTGTCCAGGAGAATTTCTGTCTTCCATTTCTGCACAGGGAGGACGACTCACTGGCCCATACCGCAAAGGAGAAAGCCGATCTTCTAGGCTCTTTCTTTGCGTCTAACTCGACTCTCGATGACGGGGGGAGTACGCCGCCGACCATCCTGCGGTGTGAGTGCTCCATGCCGGAAGTGCACTTCACACAGCGCTCGGTTCGCAAAGCACTCCTCTCCCTGAACATCCACAAGTCGAGTGGGCCTGACGGAATCCCCCCAATTGTGCTGAGGACGTGTGCTCCAGAGTTGGCACCGGTTTTAACGCGTCTTTTACGGTACTCCTACTCCCTAGGCGTAGTCCCAAAGTCATGGAAGACGGCTGACGTCCACCCGATCCCTAAAAAAGGCGACCGCTCTGACCCGTCCAACTACCGGCCAATCGCCATCACCTCCTTGTTCTCCAAAACAATAGAGTCCATTGTAAACTGTCAGCTCGTGAGGTACCTTGAAGATCACCAGCTGATTAGTGACCGCCAATACGGTTTTCGCCGTGGTCGATCAGCTGGTGATCTTCTGGTCTACCTAACTCACAGATGGGCGGAGGCAGTAGAGATCAAGGGGGAGGCAATGGCCGTTAGTTTGGACATTGCGAAGGCCTTCGATCGGGTTTGGCACAAAGCGCTTCTTTCGAAGCTCCCTTCCTATGGGCTTCCCGAGAAATTGTGCGATTGGATCACCAGCTTTCTTGCAGATCGGAGCATCAAGGTCGTTGTAGACGGTGCAAGCTCCGATTGCAAGCCAATTAATGCTGGTGTTCCACAGGGCTGCGTGCTATCTCCAACTCTGATTCTTCTGCATATCAATGATATGTTGCATACCCGTAACATTCATTGCTATGCAGATGACAGCACTGGTGATGCTCTTTACACCGGCCAAGCCAATATTTCTCGAGAAAACGTCTCCGAGTGCCGGGACAAACTTGTGTCTGAAGTCGAGTCTTTGCTGAACAGAGTCTCGGATTGGGGACGACTAAATCTAGTCCAGTTTAACCCCCAGAAGACACAAGTTTGCGCGTTAACCGCTAAAAAGAACCCCTATGTCGTATCCCCTCAGTTTCAAGGCACTCCCCTTGTTGCCTCAGCCAGTATCGGAATCCTCGGCGTCGACATATCGAGTGACGTGCAGTTTCGTGGTCACTTGGAAGGGAAGGCCGTATTGGCCTCTAAAAAACTTGGCGTGCTCAGCAGAGCGGGACAGTATTTCATACCGGCACACCGCCTGCAACTTTACAAGGCGCAGGCTCGGCCGCACATGGAATACTGTTCCCATCTCTGGGCTGGGGCTCCCCAGTACCAGCTCCTTCCACTTGACCGCATCCAGCGCAGAGCGGCTCGAATCGTCGACGACCGAGTGCTTTCCGATCGGCTCGATTCACTGGCGCTGCGAAGAGATGTTGCATCTCTTTACGTATTTTATCGCATCTATCACGGGGAGTGCTCTGAGGAATTGTTCGGATTAATCCCAGCCGCCAAATTTCGTGAACGCACTACACGGCAAACGTCCCGATACCATCCACACCATCTGGATGCTTGACGGTCCAACACTGAACGTTTCACAAGGAGTTTTCTTCCACGTACAACCTCTCTGTGGAATAGTTTACCACCGGTGATTTTTCCGGACCGATACGACCTGGGGACCTTCAAGAAAGGAGCTTACTCCTTTATAAAGGGCCGGCAACTCACCCGCAATTCTCCTGGTGTTGCGGTTGATCATGGGCGGCGGTAGTCACTTAACATCAGGTGAGCCGCATGCTCGTTTGCCCCTTCTTCTATAAAAAAAAAATTATACTGTACGCGCAGAGCATTGTAAGCTCGACGCGTATATGTTACCCACGGGGCACTAGAGTAAAATGATTGACAAAACGCTTTGTACAGCGTTATTTTAACTGTATCTGTACATCTAGTGAACCTGCGAGCCAGCATATTGGCTCTCACTGTCAACGCCCTGCGCTCCCTTTCTATGTCCTCGTCATCCCGGAGGTCTGCTGTCACTTGCTTGTAGTTGCTCTTGCCTGTCTTGGCACCATTTTAACTTTGATTTAAATTTTTTACGTTTTTCTAACATTTCATTATAAATATTGCCGATTTTTGGTTTACCTGTCAATAACCACATCTGAAATTTAAGTCTAGCCTCCCTGTGCGCGCCAGCAACGTATTTATTCCACCCAGTGACATATTAACCTTTATTTCTTGTACATTTTCTTTTAACATAGGTCTGCGAAGCTGATTCTGACAGAATACTAACAATCTCCCTATACAATTTGTCTAATATTAAGTAATGACTTTTATTACTACATGAGTAATCACAGCATTGGTCTAACTCTAGCGGAAATTCGATATTCTTTAGTTTAGAATGACACAATTCATGATATTTATTTATCTGTTCCAACTGCCTATCTCCCCATATTATACATTTTTTGGACTCGCCCATTGGAACATCAATTTGAACTTTCTGATTTAATGTGTATAGGTCACATTCAATTATGAGCGGAGAGTGGTCCGACCAATATACGTCATGTTTCACCGACACTTTATTAATTGTCGTCCGTGTAGATTGAGTGACTATACAGTGGTCTAACCATCTCTCACACCCATGTGCATCACTACGAAACGTATAAGTGTTAGACTGAAGCCCTAACATATCAACATCCACGCAGTACCACGTGTAATCATTACAGAAATTAATTAACTCATTATAAAATATTTCCTTTGGATGCGCATTAAAGTCTCCAAGTAAATAAAATGCCTCCACACCACAATTCTCTTCCACTTAATAATAGATTTTATTAAACTAGGGCATTCTGTAAATATACACAAGTTTTCACTGCAGTTTGTCGGCATGTAGACGCTAAAAATTACTACGGATCACTTACAGTTATTTTAATCGCCGCTGTCCGAACATTATCACAATTTATCACAGATACCGTTTGAAACACACTTTTCCTCCATAACAACGCAACACCACCGTACGGTCTACCAGTAAGTAGGCCAGCAGAGGTGTTGATTGCCGACGTTCCCGTAGCACCAAAATCACTGTCAATTGTGCTCAGTAAAGGCAACTCGTGTGGCAGAAGCCAGGTCTCCTGTAAGGCTATTACGTCGGCTGAGCGACATAATTCCCTAACTCCTTCGAATGACCTCTTGATGGATTTGCAGTTAAAACTTATTAATCGAGAATAATTTTTATTATCGCTATCCATTATATTGTATATATACCTTAAAATTGTATTTATATGTGTAATCTCTATCTATCTATTTATTTATATTTTTACTAGCCACAAAATCCGATTCCTCTATTTTTTCTCTTCTTCCTCTAAAGTTAATAAATCGCCTAAAGCCGATTCCATGGGGCCATAATCTATCGTCTAAAAACACGTCTATTTTGTATTTACGAACAAAGACTTTGTATGCGTTGTAATTTCTTTGTATTTTCATATTTATCTTTACTAAAGAAACGTTTTCTCCTGTCTTTTTTATGAATATAGTCAATAATATCCTGTTCAGACACCTCTTTATGCACGTTTGAGATAAATAGGGGGATTTTGGCCTCTGCCGCCTTAAATTTTTCACTACCATTTAACTCTGCAACAGCATTCCCACTTTTTGTTATAAACCTGTTTCTTAACCTTCTTTTCTGTACTAAAATCCACTCTTCATCTTTATTTGTTTCTTTCCACTTATTGCCAGCTTTAGTCGTTTCTGCAAAATATAGTTTTTGCGCCAAAATATTATCAGAGGTCATATATTTATTTTCCATAGTACTTATAAGCTCCACACTACTACGTGACTCATTGAACATGATCTGAGCCGGCCGAGTGCTACTGGTATCTTTACGTCAGTTGTCTCTTTTGCACACGCTTCAGAATCGCAATGTTTGCGGCAATATCTCCTCCTCTTTCAAAATTTGAGTATTTTGTTTATGTTTACAAATAGATGCACGCGCATCGGGTTCATTATCAATTTTGTGTGAGGGAGATGAGCATATATTGTTGTCCTCTTTCGTAGGCGATTCATTACCATACAATGAAAGTGCCATCGGTCCACTATCTAGTAGCGATTTATTTGTTAAATACCTTCCGCATTTTAAGTTTTTGTTTCGCTTGTTATTAAAAGTAGATGACTGAAGACATTCTGATACACAATCCTTTAATTCTTGTTTTGTCACAACGTTTTGTTGAATATTTGTAATAGTATCTTGTAACAGTACGATTTTCTTGAGCAACGCGGTAACATCCACATGATCAAATGTGACCGGCGGTAGTTTCTCCAAATATTTCGCCACAAAAATTGGTATTTTTTCGGGGTCATTCGCTTTAAACAAAGTTATAATATCATCCAGATTGCGCTGAGTTTTACCCTTACGTTTTCTGGTTTTAATGATTTTCTGTAGCCATTCAAAAAGTAGCGATTTTGCTATTTCAATATCTTCGACACTAAAGGCACTTTCACATATGCGGATGAGGCTCTCTTCATCCATAACGTCCAATTTGTTTTGGATAAATGCTAACACTTTACAGATGACTATATTACAGCTTGCACACTTTACTCTTTTTGAAGACGACATATTCGTAGCGTAAGGCACTGCCCACACGTACGCTCGTGACCGCGATCAAGCGTTGACTGATATAAATACTATACTTTTTATTAACTTTTATCACCAGCCTCACTCAAGCCCGTAGCAGGTAATTTCCTGTCATTAAAATTAATAAATCGCCGAAATGAGATACCTTCAGGCCAAAGATTGTTGTCCAGGAACATTTCCGTCATATTCTTGGGAACAAACACTTTATAAGACTTGTAATCTTTTTGACGTTTCATTTAATTTCCACCAGTTGTACAGCAACATTCATTTTGCATAAAATTTAATCAGCAATGTCCTGGGTTGAAGTCTCTTTATCAAAATTGTTTATAAACAACTGTATTCTTATATTTTCTGCCTTAAATTTACCCGTAGGATCCTTTGCCTGCCCCTGTAAACCAATAAATCTGTTCCTAAGTCTTTTCCTCTGCACTATAATCCATTCTTCATCCCTTTTATTCAGGAATTCGCCCCCTGCTCGCGCTACTTATGAGAATGTACTTCGTTCGTTAAGTTTACTCATTGGCATAGTACCGCTCGCACGACAACTGTAGTTAAGGCCAACCAGCCAATTACGTACCTTGGGTGGCACCCGGTGCGGAAGTTCATGGTGTCACCCATCGAAAGTAAAAAGCAATAAATTCTATATGATAAAGGACATGGATTATTAATTTTTTATAATATTGAATAAATTACAAAACACAATAATAACTAAGACGGAAAAAGAATTGTTATACAATTAAAATTTCTTCCTTCTAGCTTTGACAGCTGCAAACTCAGCAATAACTTCATCAAAATTTATATTTTGTATTACCTCGTGTTCGATAGCTAATATACCAAGATTGCTAAGCCGCGATTTTTGGGCGGGCCATTATTGCCCGCAAATAGTTTTTTTTATTAATTTTAATTTACTGAAACTCCTCTCACATGAACCTACGGACACGCAAACCGTCATAAACGATTTCAGTGCAATCATAAGATTTGGAAGAGATTCTGTAAAATCCCATTCTACAATAAACTTTAAAAAATCTAGAGACACCCATTCAGTAACCGTAACATTAGCGGCTTTTAAGTGTCTTCCCGATTTTGGTATCTCCAAAAGTAATTCGGTTTCTGAGACCTCATCATAAAAATCAGTAAATTTAGATGTAGCTAATTTCAGTTCTTCAGTATTCGCCAAAAGCAAATCATTAGTTTGTACGATCTTGAACAATCAAGCTATATCTTGAAGATACTTCGATCTTGTTTGGAGTTCAACTCTGAATCGGTCAAGATATTCCAACACATCTTTTTGAAGTTCCTCTTTCAGTGTGAGTCCTGCATCGCTGGCCATCTCACCAACCATACGTTTTTTACGCCGAAGTCGTTTTTCTGTTGGAATATCGTAGTCTTCTGATTTTTTTTGTTGCAATGCCTATTGCCTCTTCCACAATGTGATCCCGTTTTTCTTCGATATAAAAACGAAGTCCCTCTATTTTTGTAGCAGTTTCATCAACAGTCAAGCCTTTACTTTGCAATGCAATCTGTGCAGAATTTGTTTCCCGAAGAACATCATACCAGAAGAAAATATAACATAAAAAAGTGTAATTGCACACAGCAGGCATGAGGTTTTGTGCAGCACCTCTGGTGTCTACATTTTCTCGTCCATCACACAATTCTTCAATTGCGTCTACAAGTCCTTAAAAATTATCTGGTAGTGCTTTTACTGTAATGAGCACTCCAACGCGTTGCTGGGAGTCTTTTAACAGATAATTTACTGTGTTTCATAAGCACTTCCCAACGGCCAGTGGAGGCAGAAAAAAAAAGAAAAAATCGTCTCTACCGTTCCAAAAAATGTAACGCATGATACATTTTGGGCATATGAATGTTGACCACACAAAAAAAATTAATCGAATGATCAATACAACCAATAGAAATTGCTTTATTATTTTTTTGTTTTAATAATGGACTGTATTTCTCCATGCACACCGCTCATAACAGCAGCATTGTCATAGCCTTGGTAACGACACATCATAATATCTAAATCGTCTATCTTAAGCTTGCCAAGAATTTCATCGCTTAGATCAGCAGCTTTTTCCTTGCAAAGCAAAAAATACAAGGAATGCTTCTTTGACTTCCACTTTCCTATTTTCTATTTTCACATAACGTATCACTTCAGACATTTGGTCAATATGTGAAATGTCAGGTGTGCTATCAAACATAATACCAAAATATTTCGCTGATTTAATTTCGTTGACAAGCTTAGTTTTCACATGGTTTGATAAAACATTAATGAATTCATTCTGTATATCTGGCGACAAATATGATACTTTGAAGTTTTATCTTACTCGAATTTCATCATGTGTTCTTTCAACACTACTTCATACTTTGACAATAGTTTTACTAATTCCAAAAAATTGCCTTTATTTTTAGTCTTGTCCTTCATCATGTCCACGAAACGCCAAGTTTTGTTTAGCCAGAAATAAAGTTATATCCAGTAATCTAGTCAAAAGATGCTTCCACTTCTGTTTTTCTGTATCCATCAATTGCAAACCTGCATCATCTATTGTTTTATTCAATTTTAGTCTCATTTCTAAAGTTTTCCATTTCTCAAGATTTTCTAGATGTTCATTTGAATATTCGTGGTCAGCTACTTTCGGATTTAATTTCCACCACTTTTGAAATCCAGTCGTAAATGTTCCCGCATTGGTATTATTGGCCATAGCAAATATATGGCAGCAGAAACAGTACAGGTTTTTAGAGGTTAGGGAATAAACCATCCATGACCGTAGGATTTTTTCACCATTAGGCATAATTTTATAAAACCAATATTTTGGGAGATGATGAGCGTCGCCTTGTTGCCTTTTTGGTTCCGTGTCTAGAAACAGTGGCAAATAGTCCTTCTTTGTTTTGGAAATATTCACTTCTTTTTTTTTATTATTTCAATGCGAACATTGTAAGGAACAGGAATACTCCATTTTGACATATCATTCAATTGAGGAAATGATTTATTGGTAGCAATAATAGTACTGCTACTATTATTTTAAGCATCGTCTTCGTTTGTGTTAATTATATTTGTACTGTCATTGTTGCTTTCTGAAGATGAGCTGATATTATCTAAATCATCTCTTGTATTTGCATCAAGGTGAAAATCAGTTTCTTTTGATGAACGTCGACTGTCATAAGTTTTTGTAACATACTTAAAAATCGATCCAGACATACTCTGAGCTACATCCAATCTAGCCTGTTTGGCTTTCCTTTGCTAAAATCCACTTTTTCCTTTGGATGTATGCACTCCCCGGGGCATTTTTCACTTGATGTTTGTTTCTTACACTAAAACAAAAAGCTTATTGTTATGGTCTATAATGTGAGAGTATTTTCTCATAAACTAGTGAAGCAATATGAAACGAATTTACTAAAAACTTTATTAAAAAAAATTGAAATTAATTAATTAGACTAATTAGTAAAATTATTCTAATAACTAGATTAGTAAATTACTAATTTCGCATTCGAATAAAGTTATTAGTAAATTCGGTTTCGTTCGAATAACGAAATCATTCATAGTCGCTTACTTGTCGAAGTGTAAATTTCAATTTATTATTGTGCAAAACGTGCGATTTACAGCATAAAATGATATTAAAATATGAAAGTAGATAAAATCTCCCGACTTATATTATAATAATATTAGTTTATAAGGAAATATAATTATGCATGTTATAATCAGATAAAAATTCCGTTAAAAGTATTATGACGTATTAGTACAGGTTGACTTTATGGTGCCAGTACATACTCCATACGTATTCACGCAAAAACGTAGACAGAGAAACCTATAGTCAAATTGACGCTTTCTTTCACATTCACACACGAAAAAGATAGATTTATGCATACGTCTTGCATAGAAATGAGACAGAGCAATGTGATTGTTTGTCCCTTTCTCCGTGCCGGTTTTTATGTTTAGCAAACTACACTTTGCGAAACAATTTTGACAGTTCGTAGCGATCTAAGTAGTTTACAAGTTGGTTTAAGTGAGAAAAAAGTGTTTTGTGAGTTTAAGGTTGGTGAATCTTGTTCAGTTCAGTTCCTAGAACAATAAAAAAATTATATAAATATTTTTAAGTCATAAAGATTATTGTATAACCTAAAACTACTTTATTGTGGCCTCGAGTGAGAAAGGATTCTCACTCGAGGCCACGCTAATCATTAGTCTATAGGTTTCTCTGTCTACGCGCAAAAATGACTGATATGACATTAGCCATTTTTGCATAACCCTATACTATTCTATTTAGTTAAAAATCTTGTTAGTATACAAAGTTTTAATTTCAATATTTTGTGTTATTATAACTCAAAATATTTTAATTACAAATGACAAGTATATGTATGTAAGTAAATACTTGGATAGTGAAGTAAATTTTAACTAATTGTTGTAATGAAGTACTTAGGTATTTCTTCAGTAGAGCAAATTATTACATAATTCTTTTTTGCTGTGAGTACCTATCTAACAAAAAAGTTAAATGATTTTTTTTAATCTTTCATAACTTCCTTCTAAAATTCTTCGGTAACTTAAAGAATGATATTTAGCCTTTTGTTGGTCATTTCATTTAGTATCCATCTAAGCAACAGTTATAGTAGGAACGACGTTTTGCTATTATAATTTATCAAATAGGTAATATACATAATACCTATATAATTTTTAAAATACATTAAAACTTTTACAACTATTTTCACCTACAATTAAATATACTAAACACTAAACAAAAACTATTTCAACAACTATTTACATGAAACTATTTACCTAAACAGCGGAAAAAAACTTTAACATTCGATCGCCACCAACGCGCCAGCCCTGACTGCTTTATTTCGCCCGGGCGCGTCACGATTTTAGGTAATTATTTCACGCAGGTAGCAAGAGTGATAGAGGCCTGGTCAAGCTCTTTTGCGTGAATCCCCGAATTATACATAGAGCTAAGCTAGTGCTAGTGGAGGAATCCCCGAAAAAGAAATTTTTGTGTTAGCGATTTTTTGATTGTACATTGTTCTTAAAGTTGAGAGACCGGGTGGGTGTCACCCCAAAAAAGGTGACAACTGGTGCGCGCCACCCCCGCCGCCCCCCTTTGCTATGCCACTGCCACCGCACCAGCGTCTGCGCGCGTGCAATAGTTTTGGACTTCGTGTGGGCGTCCTCTACGAGTAACGCGGTTTCCGCACAGACGCGCTCGCCCTCGTCTCTTATGTTCGCTTCAGTTGTTATTGGTTGCTCGACAGGGAAAGAAGCATCTATAATTGCATGCTGACTCTTGGTGTGCGACGCATCCAGCTGACATTGTGAGTCACGCTGAGTAACTGTATTATTCTCAGCTATTGTAAATGCCGTTTGATTTGAAGTACCGTGTAATGCTGCAACTTTGCACGAATTTCGAAGTTTTTTGTTCGTATCTCTGAACCAATTTATTATTGTAGCTTCTTATGGTTTTATATGAAAAACCAACCTTATGCCTAGCCAGGTAGAATCAAAATCTTTTTAATTTATGCTATTCGTTTGAATTACAAGCACTCAAAGTCGTAGGCAAATTTGTATGTAAGAGACGCATCATTGCCTAGAAGGATATCTCAATAAATAATGAGTTGATCTTTTCAGTATTTTTTCCCGTGTGCGTGAGATACCGTACTTATCCCCCGCAATTAAATTATTGTCAGGAAGGAAACATTTTTTTTCACAGCGAATAGGCAATGTTGTAGCAGGTACTACAAACTTGCCATACAAAAATATCGTTGACTTTAGGGTTGTCCAGAAACATACAGATTAATTTTTTAATATTTTATTCACTTTAAAAGAAATTAAATACAATGGCTTCTTACAAGTAAAAATAACAAATGTTTTATGGCACTAATGTCTCATAATTATTAACTATAACAAGCAAACAATTTTTATAACATAGCTTTACCAGAAAATATTTAAATTAGTTTGTGAGTTTGAGTATTGTTTTAATATTAAAACGGTAACGAAACGATCCTTAAATAACATTATTATCCTTAAATTTGGGGATCAGGTAAAATTGCAATAATATCTTTTAAATCATGTACATCATATATGTCTTTAGAGTTAGAGTAGGTTCATACCGTTCCCTTATCAGCTTATCACACTTAGAATTTTTTACTTTTCGTGAAAATTTTACTTTGGGAATTTCATTATTTAAAACTTTCCCTATAAAGTTATTAACACTTTTTTAAGCAAATTTAACTATTACCCAGCTGTTTTCTTGAAGTGTAAGAAAATTTTCAACATAAAAATCAAAATCACTCAATCTGAAAGGGTATATGCTTTCTTGTTTTTCTTGTTGCAATGTAATTATCAAAATTTTTGTAGTTGAAGTCATCTGCACCAAGAAACGAAGTTTTCGATGTCAGACCTGAGTCGCTATGGTATACAAGTTTCTTTTCTTCTTTACTTGTCTTCTGTTTCCGTTATTCATTTGTGTATTTATATCCCGTAAAACTTAATTTTTTCAGGGGAGGCTTCTTTTATAACTATATTAGACTTAATTGTCATTTTAGGTATTTTATTCTTGTTTGGGTTTTTAAATGGATCAGGGTCATAACCTATTTTCAACTGCAGACATTCTGGTGTGTCTTCGCAAAACGGTGTGTTTATTTTGGAACTCTTTGGCAAGTTCTTCAGACAATGCACTAAACTATTTTAATCCACCAAAAAAGAGTGCAAGTAAAGATTTATAGCACTTATGCAAAGCCTACAAAGGCTGGCAGGATTTTGGAGCATCAATCACGAACAATGTAATTGTGCCGAGTTGTCTTCCAAGGTAGGTATCGTTTGATCCGAGGCTTTTAGTTTCAGCATGCTTTATTTTCTTTTTATCAGTAGTTAATTTTGATGGTCCTGATAAACTACGATTCTTTTTCTCTATCTGTTTAGTTAATATTATATCCTTCTTAGCCTTTTTAGCTTTAGCAAGCTCTTCTGCTTCTTCGATTGATATAAATTTACCAGGTATGACTGTAATTTTGCTGTTTCGCCTGTTCTCATTAACTGTGATCATCTGTTTCGCTATAAGAACTCCAGAAGGCTGGCATCAAACTGACGATTATTTTGTTCTTGTACTGTTGGTATTTTAATATCACTCTTGAGGGATTGAAAGGAAATATTCCAGATCCTTCAAATCCTTTACGTATGTTGGTCTCTTTTGTCATGTCTATTTTAGTCATTATAGTAATTAGCTCCGGCAGTAGCTGTGGGAAATCAAATTAGTGAAAACACTAGACCCAGGCAAAGTTGTGTCACTCAAGTTTTCATAACAGTGCACAACATTGCCTACTTAATTATTTTGATGAAATTGAACCCTGTTTATAGAAATATTAGACATTACAAATAATGGACAATATTTTCTTTCTTTGAGACGTAATTTCTGCATGAAAACTCTTTTCCTGTAGCTAAAAATGAAAAAGTTGCAGGACACAAAAAAAATCCACCCACTTGCACCGGTTTTGGTCGCACAACTGACTGAGTAACATTACAAAAAAATAAAAATATGTTGCCCTAATGATGGAAGTTTACTAGCAAATGGTAAAAAATAAGAAACAACTAAGCAAACACGAAATATCATAATTTAAACAAAATTTGAGCTTTGTTGGCAAAGTTGCAGCATTTTACGTTTCTGTATATATTACTCTACTCTATGATTTTACGGTAGCTGTATTTTCTACCTCCAAGTTTATAAAACCGATTCAAGGTTATCGTAATGTGCTAAATTACTCGTGCCTCTTTTCTTATTTAAGGAATATTTAAATTGGTAAAATTTTTTAACAGCGACCCTTGCTTCATATTATCGATCTCCATTTTTAATTTGTTAATATGCTCAACCGTAGAGTACTGCTCTGTTACAACTTGAAACTGACCTTTTAGGATAATTATGTCTTTCAGTAATCTCGTTACATCGACATGGTCAAATGTAACCGGTGGTAGTTTTCGTAGCTCGGGCTACGAATATGGGGATTAGTTCTGCTGATGTGCACTTGATAAGGGAGAAAATGTCCTCGAGATCCCGTTGTATTTTTCCATCTGCTTTGCCCTTTCTCCTTATCTTTTTTCCCTGAAGTTTGCACTGATTATAGGTACTATGCTGGTATCGTTTGGTAGTTCTGGGGTATTGAATAAAACGGCATTAACAGTGATGAACTTTATATTGATAATGCTATCACCAATGTAATAAGTACAAAAGATAGTGCGCGATAACAGAACTGCTTAAAAACTTAAAAGGTAAGACCCTTTAAATTTACAAAATTGCGTCGTTAGCATGCGTAGCAATGCGTAGACAGAGAATAGGTTTCTCTGTCTACGTCACAGACTACTAAGAGGATACGTTGGCATGGGTAGCCATAGACAAAATGCTCTATGTCCGAAAACTAATATACTCTTTTTATGCTTTGCCGGCTTGGCGTTTCGCCACACCACCCCCTTACGGAGAATAATAAGGTAAAATAAAAGGTAAAAAATAAAAAAATACTTCTAAATATCTAAAATATTTCTAAATCTAACGCATCTGACAGATCTTGTCTTAACTACTCTAGTATCAGATTGATATGGCATCAGACCTGTATTATTAGGGGTAGTTTGGACTACAGGAGGAGTATTAGCGGTTGCTGGGGTCACAGGAGGAGTAGTTTTTTTGTCTACTTCATTATTTTCAATATAAGCCGGCTTTACACGATCAATGCTTACCTTTCTACCATTGACGTCTAAGGTTAGTGTTTTGTCTCTCCTCTGAAGAATTGCAAGAGGACCCGTATACGGTGGTTGAGGGCGCCTTACTGTATCATCACGAAGGAAAACGTGAGTAGCCAATGCGAGATCCTTGAAAATAAATGTAGACGGCCGCGTGTGTTCCATTTTCCTTTTTAAATCTGCTACAAAATGTCTGCAGGATTTTTTGTAAAATTTTGAGGCGCGATTAGCTCACCTGGTAAACGCAGCGGTTTTCCGTAAACCAGTTCCGCTGCCGAGGTTTTTAAATCCTCCTTGAGAGTGCTTCTCATTCCTAGAAGGATGAGCGATAATGCTTTCGTCCAGGTATTAGAATGACACATTAGCGCAGCCTTTAATTGTCGATGCATCCTTTCAATGCCCATGGATGGGCCCATGGATGGTAACCAGTGGTTCGAATACGTTTCGTTGCGCAGAGGTTCATTAAACGCAAGAACAATGCAGATTCGAACTGTCTTCCTTGGTCAGTGATCACAATATTGGGTACTCCAAAACGCGATATCCAGCCTTCAACAAAAGTTTCTCCAGCTTCTTCAGCAGTTATTGATCTGAGTTATAGGCCATGCTTCTGGCCATTGCGTGAACCTGTCGATAGCAGTGAGACAGTAGGTGTAACCATGCGAATGTGCAAGCGGTCCTATGATGTCAATATGCACATGTCTGAATCTTCCAGAGGGACCGTTGAAATGATCAGTGGGTGAAATTATATGGCGCGCTACTTTACTACGTTGGCAGTTTAGACATGAGCGAGCCCACTCATGGCAATTCTTCTTCATATCTCGCCAAACATAGTGCCCCAAAACTAATTTAACTGTAGCTCGAATGACAGGGTGACTTAGGTTGTGCAATTTATTAAAAGCATCACGACGAAAGGGATGTGTGAGAAATGGTTTTGGTCGGCCAGTCGAAGTGTCACATATGACTGTTACCAAAGTGCCAGGGATGGTGACTTTTTCTAGTCTCACTGATGAATTCCTCTCATGTTCTTTTAATTCTGAATCCACTTCTTGAGAAGTCGATAACGCGATATAGTCTTCTTCGAGGGATATCGACTCGATTCGAGACATTACGTCGGCCACGATGTTGTTATCGCCCTTAATATGTCTGATATCAGTCGAAAATTGACTTATAAAGGACAACTAATTTCTCTCGGCGCTGAATGAAAGCTTACACCAAAAGTTTATATGTGTTCGGTATATATCGTCGCATGTTGGACTTCTAATATATACCTAAAATGTAGCACACTCTCGTACACAGAAAGGGGTTCGCAGTAATACGCGGGCCATTTTGACTGTTTAGAAGTTAATTTCTTGCTAAAATAAGCGAGCGGATGCCAATCGTCTCCTCTTTTCTGCTGAAAACATGCACTTATATGAGTATTTGAGGCATCCGTGAAGAGCGTTGCAATCCGGGTGTACTAGTACAGTAGCTTGGGACAGGCTCCTTTTGCAGTCTTCAAAACTTTTCTCCAGCTTAGATGTCCATGGGAATGGTTTAGCACCTTTGCTGCTTGTAGAGGTTACGGCATCGATAAGCGGTGCTTGTTGTTTGGCTGCGTCGGGGAGAAAACGTCGATAGTAGTTTATCATCCCCAAGAATCTTCGCATGCCTTGCATTGTTTTAGACGGTGGGTATTCCACTAAGGCACGGATTCCATCTTCGGGTGGGCGTGTACCTGTTGCGCTGATCTTATAGCCTAAAAAGGTATTCTTCTGCACCGAAGATGCATTTTCTTGGATTGATAATGACGGCGTATTCGTGCAGTCTTTGGAACAATGCCCTTAAATGCTGCTCATATTGATCTTGGTATCTTAAGTATACGAGTATATCATCAACATACGCAAAACAGAAATAGAGGAAACTCACAACTTCATCAATAAACCTTTGAAATGTGAAAAATTGACAGGTATCTATTGATATGCCTTTACGAGGACGATGGTGCTAAAGATGCTGGATCCTGCTAAGTTCTTGTAAAAATCCTCTGAATAACGAACGGGGTATCAATCTGGAATGGTTCTGGCATTCAGAGCACAGTAGTCTCCACAGGGACGCCAGGTGGAATCCTTTTTGCTAAGTGAAGTGGTGAGAGTGGTGGATGGTCTTGCTGTTACTACACGAACCATCTCTTCAAATTCATTTTTCGCAGCAAGTAGTTTTTGAGGTGCCAGGCGACGTGCGCGGGCAGTAACCGATAGTTTAGTGCTTGCCAGGAACATGGCTGTATATATCTGCGGGCTTTGGATGAAAATCTATTATGATACCAACAGAGCTGCTTGTCTCTCGTTCTGGACTGTGAACGGCTTCTGCTGCGGTTCTGGTAACGTTTATGTGCCTGCTGTGAGACTAGCGACGATGCGGGTTAATTCGTCTACCTTCTGGTGGAGCATCTAAATTTCATTGGATGTCGAAGGAACAGATAAAGCTGTGCCAAGAGATTGATCGATAGCGCTGACCTTGTATGCCGATGTTAATTTCTGGCATCCAAGATCTTCCAGAGAAGCTTGTTTTTGAGTAACTAAAATGCCCTGCACTTGATGAGGCAGCCTGCTCATCCATATAGATTTCAGCAGTTGGTCTGGAAACGATGAGCCTGCAAGTGTTTTGAAGGAAGGAACAAAGTGTTTTGCTGATGGAAGGACGATAGCTTCCTGTCGCCTATCTCCTCTCTTTCTAACAATCTTCTAACTTTTTCATCATAGGACTCTGAAAATCGTGTAATTAGTGCATTTTTAATGTCGAATATGGCTATGTCCTTGGTGAATCAGTTATGATGTCCTCCACTTGGTGTCTAGTTTAGGTATAGCATAAAAATATCTAGTGGTTTCTTCCGTAACATCATTTATATGGAACTGGGCCTCGAGATCAGCAAAGCAAAGTGCGGGACGGTCAGGAAAGAAAGGAAGTGCACGGGTAGTTACTCTATTTACTACAATATTTTCTTGGCTAGTCGATGAATTATCTATGGTATCAACTGTATTCCCCATGGTAACAGAATACTTATTATAAAATCAAATTTAATATTAATAATGATATCTTATTAAAATATTCCTTAAATTTTAAGTGCAAAAGACTTATAATTCAATGGAATACAATATGTTCTAAGATGATGTGTTTACATTGAATCTCTTTAGTCAAAACGTATATAAAACACAATATTCTTTAAAACATATACATAACAATGTTAATACGCTAGTATCTAATATATAAGTCAATGATGTTAAGACATCAAAACACAATATGATAGATAATTTTAATTAAATTTAATAGTATCCTAATTACTTGACTTGTCAGTGAATAATTAAATTGTGTGGTGAAATAACTTGTTAAGTCATTTATTTGCAAGCATGTGTAATCTAAGTTAGCAAGTCTAAAGTCTAAGTTCTGTATTAAAGAGAACTTTATGCAAAAGCTAAGTTATTATTAAATAGCTTTCATAAAAATTAAATTATCACTTTAAATTGAATGAGCTTAAATCAATTAATTAAATTATGTTTGTAAATTTTGAGAGTTACTAAGACCATAAAATGATGTAAGTTAGAACTTAGTCGATAGTTATATTGATTGTAAGTAAGTGCCAAATACAAAGCCGCGGGGCTAGACGGAACTCAAAGTTTTAGTGAATCGTCTCTGCAGGCTATTTGATGCCTTTCTGGCGACGTATCTGTACCCTGCACAGTGGAAGACGGGTAGGCTTGGTCTCCTAAAAAGGGTGGGGTGCATGGTGGGATTCTCCCTCCGCCTACCGCCCTATTGTGTCTTGATGAGGTAGGCAAACTCTCCGAGCGGATTCTGCTGTCAGAGTGATTGATGGTTACACATGTTTTGTATTGAAATAAGTTTTTAATTTTTTTTTTCGATTCCTATTTGCGGAAACCTTCTCAATTTTTTTTGTGTTGTCTGTGTGTGAATATGAATGGACCTCTTAGGAATTACAGCATTAGTCTGCTCCGAAAAGCAATGTTCGATACGACTCGGAAACACCGTTCACATAAAAGTCCATTACCCATCTGATAAGACCTGGTTATGGGTCGTACACTGAAAGCTTGCTTAAGAGGCTTGCGTGCCAGACCTTATCAAAGGCTTTCGAGACTATAAAGGAAACAGAAATTGCTTTCCCATTCACGAACAAACTAGTTCAATTATAAAAAATAAGATAAACGTATTGTCGAATTCTCATTTTAAAATTTTTATGCGAGATTGCAACATAATCTTCCAACGGAAACCAAGTTATTTATTTAAAAAAAACTCATTTATCAATCTGAATTTAGTGGAAATCTTACATATAATGATACACATTTTTATAATTTGTTTTCAGTTAAAACATTAAATAATATTAGCCATCTATTTTCGTGTTTTTCTTTTTCGTTGCATAAATGTAAAACCAATTTTGAACTATCCGATTATTTAAAAACAGTAAAGACTGTGGTATATAAAATTACTTATATAGGTCGTAGGTATATTAGTTTAGCCATCATACTTCCCACGCTTAACAGGCATGTTGGAAACCGCACCATTTTATTACATAATTTTCTATCAGGAAGATGCTGCTATTCATCTTCTGTTTAATATCCCTCTGTCACCTCTTAAGATACCTCGGGATGATATGGGGTAGGTTTTATTACGCCACTAGGATGCCGGCGACGAGGAAACAGTCGGAGACAGTTTCCTCGTCTAGAGAGTGCTAGAAGTGGTGAAGTGGTGGTGATGGGGTTAGTTGTGACGAAGATAGTGTTAGTCTACTTCACCCGCAGAGCCTACTTCATCTGAGGATGCCTATGTAGAGGCGGTAACAAAAAAATAAAATAAATAATTTGTTTTTCTTTACAAAACTTAAATTAATTACATAGTTGATTGTGGTCTCCATTTAAGCAAGTAATTAATGCCTGTGTTTGGAAACCCCGCTCTTCCTTATCAAAACATAAATTTTTTAATTAAATCAGCATTGTGAGGCCGATTATCACCTACGTCTCCAATGTCTGGTATAATAAGGCCAACCAAAAGACGACTGTGTACAGACTAAATAGTCTACAAAGCACTGCCTGGTTAATGGTAACTGAAGCGATGCGATCATCGCCTACAGCAGCTCTTAAAGCAATTCTGTGCCTAACGCCCCTTGATCTTTATTT